ACAGGGGAGCTGTCGGCGCCGAACCAGACTGCAGGGGAGCCGTTGGCAGAGAAGCCGATTCTGGGGGAGCAGCTGGTAGAGGAGCTGCCGCCAGGGGAGCAGTTCGACGACGACTCGTCGAGCGACGACGTTGTGGAAGTCGTCGGTGCGGACGGTGGCGGGTGAAGAGGAGCTGTCGCCAAGGGAGCAGTTCGACGACGACTCGTCGAGCGACGACGTTGTGGAAGTCGTCGGTGCGGACGGTGGCGGTGAAGAGGAGCTGTCGACAGGGGAGCAGTCCGACGACAGCGACGTGGTAGAGGTCGCGGTCGACGAGCCGAAACTGCGACGGTCTGCCCGCTCCAACATTGGCAAGCCGCCGGAGAAGCTGAGCTACCACGCTTGTCTGCCACCAACCTCCTACAGCACTCTGCTCGACGACGCGCAGGACGACGCTGTCTACGACGCTCTCGGCCCCGACATGCACGCCGATCCGGACCATCGCTGGGACATCGCCAACATGACGGTGAAGGAGGCGTTGGCGAGCTGGAAGGGCAATGCGGTGAAAGCGGCCACATGGACGAGAAATCAGAGTCTCATCTCTAACGGGACGTGGGAGCTGGTCGAGCGTCCGCGCGGTGTCAACATCATGAAGAACCGCTGGGTGCTCACGACGAAGTACCACGTTGACGACACGGTCGCTCGCGAGAAGGCTCGTCTGGTGGTGAAAGGTTTCACGCAGGTCTACGGCGCAGATTACGAGGAAACGTACGCGCCAGTGGGAAGCTACGTGACTCTGCGCATCTTCCTCAGCATTGTAGCAGTTCTCGATCTGCACCTGATGCAGTTGGACATGAAAAACGCGTTTCTGCAGAGTAAGCTGGATCGCGTCCTCTACATGTACCAGCCCGACTACTACAACGATGGAACAGGTCGCGTCTGCAAGCTGCTGAAGAGCTTGTATGGGTTGAAGCAGAGTCCGCTGCTGTGGTACTCGGCGCTCGACACGGTGCTGACGGGCGCTGGCTGGCAGAAGAGCCAGGTCGACGAGGCACTCTACTTCAAGATCGGCGACGACGGAGTGGCGTGCTGGGTGCTCGTCTACGTCGACGATCTGCTCGCCGCAAGCAGCAGCACTGCGATGCTGAAGGAGCTGAAGGAGCTGCTGGATGCCGCCTTCGAGCTGCGCGAAATCAGCCCGGTAGAGAAGTATCTCGGGCTGGAAATCGTGCGCGACCGTCCTGCGAGGAAGCTGTGGCTGCACCAGCAGTCGTACGTCGATAAGCTGCGTCGGCGTTTCATCGACGAAGAGCAGACCGGGCGAGTGCCGAAGACGCCGGTCTCCGTCGACGCCTACGCAGAGCTGGTGTTCGACGACGAGGAGTTCCAGTCGCGCGAGGAAGCAGAGTACCGGCAGAAGGTCGGCTCGCTGCAGTTCGCGGCCACCACGACGAGGCCCGACATTGCCTTCGCTTGCAGCAAGCTCGGATCCGGCCTGACTGTGCGGAGCGACAACCACTGGCGTGAGGTCGATCGCTGTCTGCACTACCTTGCTGAAACTCGTGACGCCGCTCTGGAGTTCGGCGGCGGACCAGAGTCGCTGGTTCTGGTCGGCTATGCAGATGCAGACGACGCTGGCGACAAGCAGAATCGGACGAGCACGGGCGGCTACATTTTCATCTTCGGAGGAGCAGCAGTTTCGTGGTCGAGCCAGCGCATCAAGTGCGCGACGCTCTCGTCGACGGAGTCGGAGTACGTCGCGGCGACAGAAGCCGGCAAGGAGGCTCGCCGCTGCGCTCCTCCTTGCAGAATTCCGCCTACTCGACCCTACACAACCAGTCGGCGATCAAAGTCGCAGAGGGCTTGGGGCTCAAGGGCAACCTCAAGCACATGGAGCGACGCTACGCATGGCTGCAGCAGATGGTGAAGCGCGGGAAGATTGCTCTGCAGTACATTCCGACCTCCGAGCAGCCGGCGGATTTTCTGACGAAGGCGCTGCATTTTCCGGCTTTCAACCGGTGCTCCGTCGCAATCGGCCAAGTGCGTCTGGCCGACGTCGGCGACGGGGATAACGAGGTGCAGCAGTAGGTGCTGTGCCCTTCTGCACGGCTGGTGCGGTGAACTACGTGATGAGTTGGGTGCACGTAGAAGAAATTCCTCCTTGTATTCTATCCCTCTGGGTTCTGGGTGGACCTTCTGTGTGGGGTGCCCAAGCGTGAGCGCGGCAGGGGAGTGTCGAAGGAAATAGCCTCGCCCTCGCTTGAGCGTAGCTGATCTCGCCGCAAACGGGAAGTTCGCGACGGAGCGGTCGACGAAATGGGCTTCTGCAGTTCGGCGGAAGTTGCAGTCGAGCAGGTTCTGCTCGACGGAATCTGGTCGACGAGCTCTGCGCGATGAGCTCTGGTCGACGATCTCTGCGCGGTGAGCTTCCGTCGAAGAGCGCTGGTCGAAGAACTCTGGTCGAAGAGTTCTGGTCGAGAAGCTATGCGCGGCGAACGCTGTTCGACCGTGCAGAGTCGAGCTGATCGACCGAAAGCTGCAGAGTTGCGCGAAACTCTGCGAAGGCGTGCGAACATTCGCCCAGGAGATTTTGGCGAAGTTCTACCTGCGGAACGGCATCACGTGGTCGACGGCGCGCACCTGGCGAAACCGACGACACGTTTTCTACCTGGCACCTGCGCAATGTGCCTGACGGTGAAACCACCAACCTGCACCTACTTGGTAGGTGCGCACATCTGCGCAGATAGACAACCTGCGACCGTAGAAAGTTACCTGCGATTGCAGATAGTCACCTGCGACTGCAGTGCTGGCAGATCGCGCGCAGTGCAACGCTGGCAGGTCACTCTGCTGCAGCGTTGGCGAGCCGCTCTTCTGCTGCGCTGGCAGAGTTCGCCCTTGCTAGGAGTTCCATGCCATTCTAGTCCTTTTGTTTCTGTATGCCTCATTGTTGCTCTCTATTCTTTTCTTTTCCTATCAACTTTGTTAATGCACGTTGTTCTTTCCTTAGTGGAATTCTTGCCAAACTTCTCAGTGAACATAGCAAGCAGTAAGAACGTTAGCATAGCGCTACGATCACTCGCACAACCCCGTGCCCGCCTCCGTAGTCCACTCCCGGGGGGGGGCGCGACGCTCCGCACCCCTCACATCCACCACACCCAGCCCCCCCCGCACAGCCACCACACCGATCACCCCCCGCAATCCACCACACCAAGCACCCCCTCACAGCCACCACAGCGATCACCCCCTCACATCCACCACACCGATCACCCCCTCACAGCCACCACACCCAGCACCCCCGCACAGCCCACCACACCCAGCACCCCCTCACCATGCCAACCACACTCCACACGCCACGCCCCTCACAGCCACTACACCAATCACCCCCGCACAGCACACCACACCAAGCCCCCCCGCACATCCACCACACCCAATCCCCCCCGCACATCCACCACACCCAGCCCCCCCCTCACATCCACCACACCGAGCACCCCCTCACATCCACCACACCCCACCCCCGCACAGCCACCACACCCAGCCCCCCCCTCACAGCCACCACACCCATCACCCCCCTCACATCCACCACACCTAGCCCCCGCACAGCCACCACACCAATCCCCCCCTCACATCCACCACACCGATCACCCCGGCACATCCACCACACCGAGCACCCCCGCACATCCACCACACCATCCCACCCCCGCACATCCACCACACCAAGCACCCCCGCACAGCCACCACACCAATCCCCCCCGCACATCCACCACACCAAGCCCCCCTCACAGCCACCACACCCAGCCCCACCGCACAGCCACCACACGAGCAACCCCCCGCAATCCACCACACCCACACCCCCTCACATCCACCACACCCAGCACCCCCCCTCACATCCACCACACCTATCCCCCCCTCACATCCACCACACCAATCTTCTCCTCACATCCACCACACCCATCACCCCCGCACATCCACCACACCAAGCACCCCCCGCACAGCAACCACACCCATCCCAAATCCCAATCCCGCAGCCAAGCCCAAGCCCATCCCGCAGCCCGCAGCCAATCCCCAAGCCCCAACCCCCAAACCCGCACAGCCACCACACCCATCACCCCCCTCACAGCCACCACACCGAGATCACCCCCTCACATCCACCACACCGATCCCCCCCCGCACAGCCACCACACCGAGCCCCCCGCACAGCCACCAAACCGATCACCCCCGCACATCCACCACACCAATCCCCCCTTCACAGCCACCACACCCATCCCCACCGCACATCCACCACACCAATCACCCCCGAACAGCCACCACACCCAGCACCCCGGCACAGCCACCACACCAATCACCCCCTCACATCCACCACACCGATCACCCCCTCACATCCACCACACCCATCACCCCCTCACATCCACCACACCGATCACCCCCGCACATCCACCACACCCATCACACCCCGCACAGCCACCACACCCAGCACCCCCGCACATCCACCACACCTAGCACCCCCTCACATCCACCACACGATCCCCCCCGCACAGCACCACACCAAGCCCCCCTCACCACACCCAGCCCCCCTCACATCCACCACACCGATCACCCCCTCACATCCACCACACCCAGCACCCCCACCACCACCACCAAGCCCCCGCACAAGCACCACACCGATCACCCCTCACATCCACCACACCCATCACCCCCTCACATCCACCACACCAAGCCCCCCCCGCACATCCACCACACCCATCACCCCCTCATAGCCACCACACCAATCCCCCCCTCACATCCACCACACAATCCCCCCTCACATCCACCACACCCATCCCCCCTTCACATCCACCACACCGATCACCCCCTCACATCCACCACACCCATCACCCCCTCACATCCACCACACCAATCACCCCATCACATCCACCACACCAATCCCCCCCTCACATCCACCACACCAATCCCCCTCACATCCACCACACCCATCACCCCTCACATCCACCACACCAATCACCCCCTCACATCCACCAAACCCATCACCCCCTCACATCCACCACACCCATCACCCGCACATCCACCACACCAATCCGAATCCCAATACGAATCCGAATCCGAATCCCAATCCCAATCCCAATCCGAATCCCAATACGATTCCCAATCCCAATCCCAATCCCAATCCCAATCCCAATCCCAATCCCAATCCCAATCCCAATCCCAATCCCAATCCCGCAGCCAATCCCAATCCCAATCCCAATCCCAATCCCAATCCCGCAGCCAATCCCAATCCCAATCCCAATCCCAATCCCGCAGCCAATCCCAATCCCAATCCCAATCCCAATCCCGCAGCCAATCCCAATCCCAATCCCAATCCCGCAGCCAATCCCAATCCCAATCCCAATCCCAATCCCGCAGCCAATCCCAATCCCAATCCCAATCCCAATCCCAATCCCAATCCCAATCCCAATCCCAATCCCGCAGCCAATCCCAATCCCAATCCCGCAGCCAATCCCAATCCCAATCCCAATCCCGCAGCCAATCCCAATCCCAATCCCAATCCCAATCCCGCAGCCAATCCCAATCCCAATCCCAATCCCGCAGCCAATCCCAAGCCCCAATCCCAATCCCAATCCCAATCCCGCAGCCAATCCCAATCCCAATCCCAATCCCAAGCCCAATCCCAATCGCGCAATCCCAATCCCAATCCCAATCCCGCAGCCAATCCCAATCCCAATCCCAATCCCAATCCCAATCCCAATCCCAATCCCAATCCCAATCCCGCAGCCAATCCCAATCCCAATCCCAATCCCAATCCCGCAGCCAATCCCAATCCCAATCCCAATCCCAATCCCGCAGCCAATCCCAATCCCAATCCCAATCCCAATCCCGCAGCCAATCCCAATCCCAATCCCAATCCCAATCCCAATCCCAATCCCGCAGCCAATCCCAATCCCAATCCCGCAGCCAATCTTAATCCCAATCCCAATCCCAATCCCGCAGCCAATCCCAATCTTAATCCCAATCCCAATCCCGCAGCCAATCCCAATCCCAATCCCAATCCCGCAGCCAATCCCAATCCCAATCCCAATCCCAATCCCGCAGCCAATCCCAATCCCAATCCCAATCCCAATCCCAATCCCAATCCCAATCCCAATCCCAATCCCAATCCCAATCCCAATCCCAATCCCAATCCCGCAGCCAATCCCAATCCCAATCCCGCAGCCAATCCCAATCCCAATCCCAATCCCAATCCCAATCCCAATCCCGCAGCCAATCCCAATCCCAATCCCAATCCCAATCCCAATCCCAATCCCAATCCCAATCCCAATCCCAATCCCAATCCCAATCCCGCAGCCAATCCCAATCCCAATCCCGCAGCCAATCCCAATCCCAATCCCGCAGCCAATCCCAATCCCAATCCCAATCCCAATCCCGCAGCCAATCCCAATCCCAATCCCAATCCCGCAGCCAATCCCAATCCCAATCCCAATCCCAATCCCAATCCCAATCCCGCAGCCAATCCCAATCCCAATCCCAATCCCGCAGCCAATCCCAATCCCAATCCCAATCCCAATCCCAATCCCAATCCCGCAGCCAATCCCAATCCCAATCCCAATCCCAATCCCGCAGCCAATCCCAATCCCAATCCCAATCCCAATCCCAATCCCAATCCCAATCCCAAACGCAAATCCCAATCCCAATCCCAATCCCAATCCCAATCCCGCAGCCAATCCCAATCCCAATCCCGCAGCCAATCCCAATCCCAATCCCAATCCCAATCCCGCAGCCAATCCCAATCCCAATCCCAATCCCAGCCCGCAGCCAACTCCAATCCCAATCCCAATCCCAATCCCGCAGCCAATCCCAATCCCAATCCCAATCCCAATCCCAATCCCAATCCCGCAGCCAATCCCAATCCCAATCCCAATCCCAATCCCAATCCCAATCCCAATCCCAATCCCAATCCCGCAGCCAATCCCAATCCCAATCCCGCAGCCAATCCCAATCCCAATCCCAATCCCAATCCCGCAGCCAATCCCAATCCCAATCCCAATCCCAATCCCAATCCCAATCCCAATCCCAATCCCAATCCCAATCCCGCAGCCAATCCCAATCCCAATCCCAATCCCAATCCCAATCCCAATCCCAATCCCAATCCCGCAGCCAATCCCAATCCCAATCCCAATCCCAATCCCGCAGCCAATCCCAATCCCAATCCCAATCCCAATCCCGCAGCCAATCCCAATCCCAATCCCAATCCCAATCCCGCAGCCAATCCCAATCCCAATCCCAATCCCAATCCCAATCCCAATCCCGCAGCCAATCCCAATCCCAATCCCGCAGCCAATCTTAATCCCAATCCCAATCCCAATCCCAATCCCGCAGCCAATCCCAATCTTAATCCCAATCCCAATCCCGCAGCCAATCCCAATCCCAATCCCAATCCCGCAGCCAATCCCAATCCCAATCCCAATCCCAATCCCGCAGCCAATCCCAATCCCAATCCCAATCCCAATCCCAATCCCAATCCCAATCCCAATCCCAATCCCAATCCCAATCCCAATCCCAATCCCAATCCCGCAGCCAATCCCAATCCCAATCCCGCAGCCAATCCCAATCCCAATCCCAATCCCAATCCCAATCCCGCAGCCAATCCCAATCCCAATCCCAATCCCAATCCCAATCCCAATCCCAATCCCAATCCCAATCCCAATCCCAATCCCAATCCCGCAGCCAATCCCAATCCCAATCCCGCAGCCAATCCCAATCCCAATCCCGCAGCCAATCCCAATCCCAATCCCAATCCCGCAGCCAATCCCAATCCCAATCCCAATCCCGCAGCCAATCCCAATCCCAATCCCAATCCCAATCCCAATCCCGCAGCCAATCCCAATCCCAATCCCAATCCCGCAGCCAATCCCAATCCCAATCCCAATCCCAATCCCAATCCCAATCCCGCAGCCAATCCCAATCCCAATCCCAATCCCAATCCCGCAGCCAATCCCAATACCAATCCCAATCCCATCCCAATCCCATCCCCAATCCCAAACGCAATCCCAATCCCAATCCCAATCCCAATCCCAATCCCCGCAGGCCAAGCCAATCCCCAATCCCGCAGCCAATCCCAATCCCCATCCCAATCCCCAAGCCTCGCAGCCAATCCCAATCCCAATCCCAATCCCGCGCCAACTCCAATCCCAATCCCAATCCCAATCCCGCAGCCAATCCCAATCCCAATCCCAATCCCAATCCCAATCCCGCAGCCAATCCCAATCCCAATCCAATCCGAATCCGAATCCCAATCCCAATCCCAATCCCAATCCCGCAGCCAATCCCAATCCCAATCCCGCAGCCAATCCCAATCCCAATCCCAATCCCAATCCCGCAGCCAATCCCAATCCCAATCCCAATCCCAATCCCGCAGCCAATCCCAATCCCAATCCCAATCCCAATCCCGCAGCCAATCCCAATCCCAATCCCAATCCCAATCCCAATCCCGCAGCCAATCCCAATCCCAATCCCAGCCCAATCCCAATCCCAATCCGCCCGCCAATCCCAATCCCAATCCCAATCCCAATCCCAATCCCAATCCCAATCCCAATCCCGCAGCCAATCCCAATCCCAATCCCGCAGCCAATCCCAATCCCAATCCCAATCCCGCAGCCAATCCCAATCCCAATCCCAATCCCGCAGCCAATCCCAATCCCAATCCCAATCCCGCAGCCAATCCCAATCCCAATCCCAATCCCAATCCCAATCCCAATCCCAATCCCAATCCCAATCCCAATCCCGCAGCCAATCCCAATCTTAATCCCAATCCCAATCCCGCAGCCAATCCCAATCCCAATCCCAATCCCGCAGCCAATCCCAATCCCAATCCCAATCCCAATCCCAATCCCAATCCCAATCCCAATCCCAATCCCGCAGCCAATCCCAATCCCAATCCCAATCCCAATCCCAATCCCAATCCCAATCCCGCAGCCAATCCCAATCCCAATCCCGATCCGAATCCCAATCCCAATCCCAATCCCAATCCCAATCCCAATCCCAATCCCGCAGCCAATCCCAATCCCAATCCCGCAGCCAATCCCAATCCCAATCCCGCAGCCAATCCCAATCCCAATCCCAATCCCAATCCCGCAGCCAATCCCAATCCCAATCCCAATCCCGCAGCCAATCCCAATCCCAATCCCAATCCCAATCCCGCAGCCAATCCCAATCCCAATCCCAATCCCGCAGCCAATCCCAATCCCAATCCCAATCCCGCAGCCAATCCCAATCCCAATCCCAATCCCAATCCCAATCCCGCAGCCAATCCCAATCCCAATCCCAATCCCAATCCCAATCCCAAACGCAATCCCAATCCCAATCCCAATCCCAATCCCAATCCCAATCCCGCAGCCAATCCCAATCCCAATCCCGCAGCCAATCCCAATCCCAATCCCAATCCCAATCCCGCAGCCAATCCCAATCCCAATCCCAATCCCAATCCCGCAGCCAATCCCAATCCCAATCCCAATCCCAATCCCGCAGCCAATCCCAATCCCAATCCCGCAGCCAATCCCAATCCCAATCCCAATCCCAATCCCAATCCCAATCCCGCAGCCAATCCCAATCCCAATCCCAATCCCAATCCCAATCCCAATCCCAATCCCAATCCCAATCCCAATCCCGCAGCCAATCCCAATCCCAATCCCGCAGCCAATCCCAATCCCAATCCCAATCCCAATCCCGCAGCCAATCCCAATCCCAATCCCAATCCCGCAGCCAATCCCAATCCCAATCCCAATCCCAATCCCAATCCCGCAGCCAATCCCAATCCCAATCCCAATCCCAATCCCAATCCCGCAGCCAATCCCAATCCCAATCCCAATCCCAATCCCAATCCCGCAGCCAATCCCAATCCCAATCCCAATCCCAATCCCAATCCCAATCCCAATCCCAATCCCAATCCCAATCCCGCAGCCAATCCCAATCCCAATCCCAATCCCAATCCCAATCCCAATCCCAATCCCGCAGCCAATCCCAATCCCAATCCCGCAGCCAATCCCAATCCCAATCCCGCAGCCAATCCCAATCCCAATCCCAATCCCAATCCCAATCCCAATCCCGCAGCCAATCCCAATCCCAATCCCGCAGCCAATCCCAATCCCAATCCCAATCCCGCAGCCAATCCCAATCCCAATCCCAATCCCAATCCCAATCCCAATCCCGCAGCCAATCCCAATCCCAATCCCAATCCGAATCCGAATCCGAATCCAATCCCAATCCCAATCCCAATCCCGCAGCCAATCCCAATCCCAATCCCGCAGCCAATCCCAATCCCAATCCCAATCCCAATCCCGCAGCCAATCCCAATCCCAATCCCAATCCCAATCCCGCAGCCAATCCCAATCCCAATCCCAATCCCAATCCCGCAGCCAATCCCAATCCCAATCCCAATCCCAATCCCAATCCCAATCCCAATCCCAATCCCGCAGCCAATCCCAATCCCAATCCGAATCCGAATCCTAATCCCAATCCCAATCCCAATCCCAATCCCGCAGCCAATCCCAATCCCAATCCCGCAGCCAATCCCAATCCCAATCCCAATCCCGCAGCCAATCCCAATCCCAATCCCAATCCCAATCCCGCAGCCAATCCCAATCCCAATCCCAATCCCGCAGCCAATCCCAATCCCAATCCCAATCCCAATCCCAATCCCAATCCCGCAGCCAATCCCAATCTTAATCCCAATCCCAATCCCAATCCCAATCCCAATCCCAATCCCAATCCCAATCCCAATCCCGCAGCCAATCCCAATCCCAATCCCAATCCCAATCCCAATCCCGCAGCCAATCCCAATCCCAATCCCAATCCCAATCCCAATCCCAATCCCAATCCCGCAGCCAATCCCAATCCCAATCCCAATCCCAATCCCAATCCCAATCCCAATCCCAATCCCAATCCCAATCCCAATCCCAATCCCGCAGCCAATCCCAATCCCAATCCCGCAGCCAATCCCAATCCCAATCCCGCAGCCAATCCCAATCCCAATCCCAATCCCAATCCCGCAGCCAATCCCAATCCCAATCCCAATCCCGCAGCCAATCCCAATCCCAATCCCAATCCCAATCCCAATCCCAATCCCAATCCCGCAGCCAATCCCAATCCCAATCCCAATCCCAATCCCAATCCCAATCCCAATCCCAATCCCAATCCCGCAGCCAATCCCAATCCCAATCCCAATCCCAATCCCGCAGCCAATCCCAATCCCAATCCCAATCCCAATCCCAATCCCAATCCCAATCCCAATCCCAATCCCAATCCCAATCCCAATCCCAATCCCAATCCCAATCCCGCAGCCAATCCCAATCCCAATCCCAATCCCAATCCCAATCCCGCAGCCAATCCCAATCCCAATCCCAATCCCAATCCCGCAGCCAATCCCAATCCCAATCCCAATCCCAATCCCGCAGCCAATCCCAATCCCAATCCCAATCCCGCAGCCAATCCCAATCCCAATCCCAATCCCAATCCCAATCCCGCAGCCAATCCCAATCCCAATCCCAATCCCAATCCCAATCCCAATCCCAATCCCAATCCCAATCCCGCAGCCAATCCCAATCCCAATCCCGCAGCCAATCCCAATCCCAATCCCAATCCCGCAGCCAATCCCAATCCCAATCCCAATCCCAATCCCGCAGCCAATCCCAATCCCAATCCCAATCCCAATCCCAATCCCGCAGCCAATCCCAATCCCAATCCCAATCCCAATCCCAATCCCAATCCCGCAGCCAATCCCAATCCCAATCCCACAGCAAATCTCAATCCCAATCCCAATCCCAATCCCAATCCCGCAGCCAATCCCAATCCCAATCCCAATCCCAATCCCGCAGCCAATCCCAATCCCAATCCCAATCCCAATCCCGCAGCCAATCCCAATCCCAATCCCAATCCCGCAGCCAATCCCAATCCCAATCCCAATCCCAATCCCAATCCCAATCCCAATCCCAATCCCGCAGCCAATCCCAATCCCAATCCCGCAGCCAATCTTAATCCCAATCCCAATCCCAATCCCAATCCCGCAGCCAATCCCAATCTTAATCCCAATCCCAATCCCGCAGCCAATCCCAATCCCAATCCCAATCACGCAGCCAATCCCAATTTTTAACCAATCCCAATCCCAATCCCGCAGCCAATCCCAATCCCAATCCCAATCCCAATCCCAATCCCAATCCCAATCCCAATCCCAATCCCAATCCCAATCCCAATCCCAATCCCAATCCCAATCCCAATCCCGCAGCCAATCCCAATCCCAATCCCGCAGCCAATCCCAATCCCAATCCCAATCCCAATCCCAATCCCGCAGCCAATCCCAATCCCAATCCCAATCCCAATCCCAATCCCAATCCCAATCCCAATCCCAATCCCAATCCCAATCCCAATCCCAATCCCGCAGCCAATCCCAATCCCAATCCCGCAGCCAATCCCAATCCCAATCCCGCAGCCAATCCCAATCCCAATCCCAATCCCAATCCCGCAGCCAATCCCAATCCCAATCCCAATCCCGCAGCCAATCCCAATCCCAATCCCAATCCCAATCCCAATCCCAATCCCAATCCCGCAGCCAATCCCAATCCCAATCCCAATCCCGCAGCCAATCCCAATCCCAATCCCAATCCCAATCCCAATCCCGCAGCCAATCCCAATCCCAATCCCAATCCCAATCCCGCAGCCAATCCCAATCCCAATCCCAATCCCAATCCCAATCCCAATCCCAATCCCAATCCCAAACGCAATCCCAATCCCAATCCCAATCCCAATCCCGCAGCCAATCCCAATCCCAATCCCGCAGCCAATCCCAATCCCAATCCCAATCCCAATCCCGCAGCCAATCCCAATCCCAATCCCAATCCCAATCCCAATCCCGCAGCCAACTCCAATCCCAATCCCAATCCCAATCCCGCAGCCAATCCCAATCCCAATCCCAATCCCAATCCCAATCCCGCAGCCAATCCCAATCCCAATCCCAATCCCAATCCCAATCCCAATCCCAATCCCGCAGCCAATCCCAATCCCAATCCCGCAGCCAATCCCAATCCCAATCCCAATCCCAATCCCGCAGCCAATCCCAATCCCAATCCCAATCCCGCAGCCAATCCCAATCCCAATCCCAATCCCAATCCCGCAGCCAATCCCAATCCCAATCCCAATCCCAATCCCGCAGCCAATCCCAATCCCAATCCCAATCCCAATCCCAATCCCAATCCCGCAGCCAATCCCAATCCCAATCCCAATCCCAATCCCAATCCCAATCCCAATCCCAATCCCAATCCCGCAGCCAATCCCAATCCCAATCCCGCAGCCAATCCCAATCCCAATCCCAATCCCGCAGCCAATCCCAATCCCAATCCCAATCCCAATCCCGCAGCCAATCCCAATCCCAATCCCAATCCCGCAGCCAATCCCAATCCCAATCCCAATCCCAATCCCAATCCCAATCCCAGTCCCGCAGCCAATCCCAATCTTAATCCCAATCCCAATCCCGCAGCCAATCCCAATCCCAATCCCAATCCCAATCCCAATCCCGCAGCCAATCCCAATCCCAATCCCAATCCCAATCCCAATCCCAATCCCGCAGCCAATCCCAATCCCAATCCCAATCCCAATCCCAATCCCAATCCCAATCCCGCAGCCAATCCCAATCCCAATCCCAATCCCAATCCCAATCCCAATCCCAATCCCAATCCCAATCCCGCAGCCAATCCCAATCCCAATCCCGCAGCCAATCCCAATCCCAATCCCGCAGCCAATCCCAATCCCAATCCCAATCCCAATCCCGCAGCCAATCCCAATCCCAATCCCAATCCCGCAGCCAATCCCAATCCCAATCCCAATCCCAATCCCGCAGCCAATCCCAATCCCAATCCCAATCCCGCAGCCAATCCCAATCCCAATCCCAATCCCAATCCCAATCCCGCAGCCAATCCCAATCCCAATCCCAATCCCAATCCCGCAGCCAATCCCAATCCCAATCCCAATCCCAATCCCGCAGCCAATCCCAATCCCAATCCCGCAGCCAATCCCAATCCCAATCCCAATCCCGCAGCCAATCCCAATCCCAATCCCAATCCCAATCCCGCAGCCAATCCCAATCCCAATCCCAATCCCAATCCCAATCCCAATCCCAATCCCAATCCCAATCCCAATCCCAATCCCGCAGCCAATCCCAATCCCAATCCCGCAGCCAATCCCAATCCCAATCCCAATCCCAATCCCGCAGCCAATCCCAATCCCAATCCCAATCCCAATCCCGCAGTTAATCCCAATCCCAATCCCAATCCCGCAGCCAATCCCAATCCCAATCCCAATCCCAATCCCGCAGCCAATCCCAATCCCAATCCCAATCCCAATCCCAATCCCAATCCCGCAGCCAATCCCAATCCCAATCCCAATCCCAATCCCAATCCCAATCCCAATCCCGCAGCCAATCCCAATCCCAATCCCAATCCCAATCCCAATCCCAATCCCAATCCCAATCCCAATCCCAATCCCGCAGCCAATCCCAATCCCAATCCCAATCCCGCAGCCAATCCCAATCCCAATCCCAATCCCAATCCCGCAGTTAATCCCAATCCCAATCCCAATCCCGCAGCCAATCCCAATCCCAATCCCAATCCCAATCCCAATCCCAATCCCGCAGCCAATCCCAATCCCAATCCCGCAGCCAATCCCAATCCCGCAGCCAATCCCAATCCCAATCCCAATCCCAATCCCAATCCCAATCCCAATCTTAATCCCAATCCCAATCCCAATCCGAATCCGAATCCCAATCCGAATCCGAATCCGAATCCGAATCCGAATCCGAATCCGAATCCGAATCCCAATCCCAATCCCAATCCCAATCCCAATCCAAATCCGAATCCCAATCCTAATCCGAATCCCAATCCCAATCCCAATCCCGCAGCCAATCCCAATCCCGCAGCCAATCCCAATCCCAATCCCAATCCCAATCCCAATCCCAATCCCAATCCCAATCCCGCAGCCAATCCCAATCCCAATCCCGCAGCCAATCCCAATCCCAATCCCGCAGCCAATCCCAATCCCAATCCCAATCCCAATCCCGCAGCCAATCCCAATCCCAATCCCGCAGCCAATCCCAATCCCAATCCCAATCCCAATCCCGCAGCCAATCCCAATCCCAATCCCAATCCCAATCCCGCAGCCAATCCCAATCCCAATCCCAATCCCAATCCCGCAGCCAATCCCAATCCCAATCCCAATCCCAATCCCGCAGCCAATCCCAATCCCAATCCCAATCCCAATCCCGCAGCCAATCCCAATCCCAATCCCAATCCCAATCCCGCAGCCAATCCCAATCCCAATCCCAATCCCGCAGCCAATCCCAATCCCAATCCCAATCCCAATCCCAATCCCAATCCCAATCCCAATCCCGCAGCCAATCCCAATCCCAATCCCAATCCCGCAGCCAATCCCAATCCCAATCCCAATCCCAATCCCGCAGCCAATCCCAATCCCAATCCCGCAGCCAATCCCAATCCCAATCCCAATCCCGCAGCCAATCCCAATCCCAATCCCAATCCCAATCCCAATCCCAATCCCGCAGCCAATCCCAATCCCAATCCCAATCCCAATCCCGCAGCCAATCCCAATCCCAATCCCAATCCCAATCCCAATCCCAATCCCAAACGCAATCCCAATCCCAATCCCAATCCCAATCCCAATCCACATCCCAATCCCGCAGCCAATCCCAATCCCAATCCCGCAGCCAATCCCAATCCCAATCCCAATCCCAATCCCGCAGCCAATCCCAATCCCAATCCCAATCCCAATCCCGCAGCCAATCCCAATCCCAATCCCAATCCCAATCCCGCAGCCAATCCCAATCCCAATCCCAATCCCGCAGCCAATCCCAATCCCAATCCCAATCCCAATCCCAATCCCAATCCCGCAGCCAATCCCAATCCCAATCCCAATCCGAATCCGAATCCGAATCCCAATCCCAATCCCAATCCCGCAGCCAATCCCAATCCCAATCCCGCAGCCAATCCCAATCCCAATCCCAATCCCAATCCCGCAGCCAATCCCAATCCCAATCCCAATCCCGCAGCCAATCCCAATCCCAATCCCAATCCCAATCCCGCAGTTAATCCCAATCCCAATCCCAATCCCGCAGCCAATCCCAATCCCAATCCCAATCCCAATCCCAATCCCGCAGCCAATCCCAATCCCAATCCCAATCCCAATCCCAATCCCGCAGCCAATCCCAATCCCAATCCCAATCCCAATCCCAATCCCAATCCCGCAGCCAATCCCAATCCCAATCCCAATCCCAATCCCAATCCCAATCCCAATCCCAATCCCAATCCCGCAGCCAATCCCAATCCCAATCCCAATCCCAATCCCGCAGCCAATCCCAATCCCAATCCCAATCCCAATCCCAATCCCGCAGCCAATCCCAATCCCAATCCCGCAGCCAATCCCAATCCCAATCCCAATCCCAATCCCGCAGTTAATCCCAATCCCAATCCCAATCCCGCAGCCAATCCCAATCCCAATCCCAATCCCGCAGCCAATCCCAATCCCAATCCCAATCCCGCAGCCAATCCCAATCCCAATCCCAATCCCAATCCCAATCCCAATCCCAATCCCGCAGCCAATCCCAATCCCAATCCCAATCCCAATCCCAATCCCAATCCCAATCCCAATCCCAATCCCGCAGCCAATCCCAATCCCAATCCCAATCCCAATCCCGCAGCCAATCCCAATCCCAATCCCAATCCCGCAGCCAATCCCAATCCCAATCCCAATCCCAATCCCGCAGCCAATCCCAATCCCAATCCCAATCCCGCAGCCAATCCCAATCCCAATCCCGCAGCCAATCCCAATCCCAATCCCGCAGCCAATCCCAATCCCAATCCCAATCCCAATCCCGCAGCCAACTCCAATCCCAATCCCAATCCCAATCCCGCAGCCAATCCCAATCCCAATCCCAATCCCGCAGCCAATCCCAATCCCAATCCCAATCCCAATCCCAATCCCAATCCCAATCCCAATCCCGCAGCCAATCCCAATCCCAATCCCGCAGCCAATCCCAATCCCAATCCCAATCCCAATCCCGCAGCCAATCCCAATCCCAATCCCGCAGCCAATCCCAATCCCAATCCCAATCCCAATCCCGCAGCCAATCCCAATCCCAATCCCAATCCCGCAGCCAATGACAATCCCAATCCCAATCCCAATCCCGCAGCCAATCCCAATCCCAATCCCAATCCCAATCCCAATCCCAATCCCAATCCCAATCCCAATCCCAATCCCAATCCCGCAGCCAATCCCAATCCCAATCCCAATCCCAATCCCGCAGCCAATCCCAATCCCAATCCCAATCCCAATCCCGCAGCCAATCCCAATCCCAATCCCAATCCCAATCCCGCAGCCAATCCCAATCCCAATCCCAATCCCAATCCCGCAGCCAATCCCAATCCCAATCCCAATCCCGCAGCCAATCCCAATCCCAATCCCAATCCCAATCCCAATCCCAATCCCAATCCCGCAGCCAATCCCAATCCCAATCCCAATCCCGCAGCCAATCCCAATCCCAATCCCAATCCCAATCCCGCAGCCAATCCCAATCCCAATCCCGCAGCCAATCCCAATCCCAATCCCAATCCCGCAGCCAATCCCAATCCCAATCCCAATCCCAATCCCGCAGCCAATCCCAATCCCAATCCCAATCCCAATCCCAATCCCAATCCCAATCCCAAACGCAATCCCAATCCCAATCCCAATCCCAATCCCAATCCCAATCCCAATCCCGCCGCCAATCCCAATCCCAATCCCGCAGCCAATCCCAATCCCAATCCCAATCCCAATCCCGCAGCCAATCCCAATCCCAATCCCAATCCCAATCCCGCAGCCAATCCCAATCCCAATCCCAATCCCAATCCCGCAGCCAATCCCAATCCCAATCCCAATCCCGCAGCCAATCCCAATCCCAATCCCAATCCCAATCCCAATCCCGCAGCCAATCCCAATCCCAATCCCAATCCGAATCCGAATCCAAATCCGAATCCCAATCCCAATCCCAATCCCACAGCCAATCCCAATCCCAATCCCGCAGCCAATCCCAATCCCAATCCCAATCCCAATCCCGCAGCCAATCCCAATCCCAATCCCAATCCCGCAGCCAATCCCAATCCCAATCCCAATCCCAATCCCGCAGTTAATCCCAATCCCAATCCCAATCCCGCAGCCAATCCCAATCCCAATCCCAATCCCGCAGCCAATCCCGCAGCCAATCCCAATCCCAATCCCAATCCCAATCCCGCAGTTAATCCCAATCCCAATCCCAATCCCGCAGCCAATCCCAATCCCAATCCCAATCCCGCAGCCAATCCCAATCCCAATCCCAATCCCAATCCCAATCCCAATCCCAATCCCAATCCCGCAGCCAATCCCAATCCCAATCCCAATCCCAATCCCAATCCCAATCCCAATCCCAATCCCAATCCCGCAGCCAATCCCAATCCCAATCCCAATCCCAATCCCGCAGCCAATCCCAATCCCAATCCCAATCCCGCAGCCAATCCCAATCCCAATCCCAATCCCAATCCCGCAGCCAATCCCAATCCCAATCCCAATCCCGCAGCCAATCCCAATCCCAATCCCGCAGCCAATCCCAATCCCAATCCCGCAGCCAATCCCAATCCCGCAGCCAATCCCAATCCCAATCCCAATCCCAATCCCAATCCCAATCCCAATCCCAATCCCAATCCCAATCTTAATCCCAATCCCAATCCCAATCCCAATCCCAATCCCAATCCCAATCCCAATCCCAATCCCAATCCCGCAGCCAATCCCAATCCCAATCCCAATCCCGCAGCCAATCCCAATCCCAATCCCAATCCCAATCCCGCAGCCAATCCCAATCCCAATCCCGCAGCCAATCCCAATCCCAATCCCAATCCCGCAGCCAATCCCAATCCCAATCCCAATCCCAATCCCGCAGCCAATCCCAATCCCAATCCCAATCCCAATCCCAATCCCAATCCCAATCCCAAACGCAATCCCAATCCCAATCCCAATCCCAATCCCAATCCCAATCCCAATCCCGCCGCCAATCCCAATCCCAATCCCGCAGCCAATCCCAATCCCAATCCCAATCCCAATCCCGCAGCCAATCCCAATCCCAATCCCAATCCCAATCCCGCATTCAACCCCAATCCCAATCCCAATCCCAATCCCGCAGCCAATCCCAATCCCAATCCCAATCCCGCAGCCAATCCCAATCCCAATCCCAATCCCAATCCCAATCCCGCAGCCAATCCCAATCCCAATCCCAATCCGAATCCGAATCCAAATCCGAATCCCAATCCCAATCCCAATCCCACAGCCAATCCCAATCCCAATCCCGCAGCCAATCCCAATCCCAATCCCAATCCCAATCCCGCAGCCAATCCCAATCCCAATCCCAATCCCGCAGCCAATCCCAATCCCAATCCCAATCCCAATCCCGCAGTTAATCCCAATCCCAATCCCAATCCCGCAGCCAATCCCAATCCCAATCCCAATCCCGCAGCCAATCCCAATCCCAATCCCAATCCCAATCCCGCAGTTAATCCCAATCCCAATCCCAATCCCGCAGCCAATCCCAATCCCAATCCCAATCCCGCAGCCAATCCCAATCCCAATCCCAATCCCAATCCCAATCCCAATCCCAATCCCGCAGCCAATCCCGCAGCCAATCCCAATCCCAATCCCAATCCCAATCCCAATCCCAATCCCAATCCCGCAGCCAATCCCAATCCCAATCCCAATCCCAATCCCGCAGCCAATCCCAATCCCAATCCCAATCCCGCAGCCAATCCCAATCCCAATCCCAATCCCAATCCCGCAGCCAATCCCAATCCCAATCCCAATCCCAATCCCAATCCCGCAGCCAATCCCAATCCCAATCCCGCAGCCAATCCCAATCCCAATCCCAATCCCAATCCCAATCCCAATCCCAATCCCGCAGCCAATCCCAATCCCAATCCCGCAGCCAATCCCAATCCCGCAGCCAATCCCAATCCCAATCCCAATCCCAATCCCAATCCCAATCCCAATCCCAATCCCAATCCCAATCTTAATCCCAATCCCAATCCCAATCCGAATCCGAATCCCAATCCCAATCCGAATCCGAATCCGAATCCGAATCCCAATCCCAATCCCAATCCCAATCCCAATCCCAATCCCAATCCCAATCCCAATCCCAATCCCAATCCGAATCCCAAACCTAATCCGAATCCCAATCCCAATCCCAATCCCGCAGCCAATCCCAATCCCGCAGCCAATCCCAATCCCAATCCCAATCCCAATCCCAATCCCAATCCCAATCCCAATCCCGCAGCCAATCCCAATCCCAATCCCGCAGCCAATCCCAATCCCAATCCCAATCCCAATCCCAATCCCAATCCCGCAGCCAATCCCAATCCCAATCCCGCAGCCAATCCCAATCCCAATCCCAATCCCAATCCCGCAGCCAATCCCAATCCCAATCCCAATCCCAATCCCAATCCCAATCCCAATCCCAATCCCAATCCCGCATCCAATCCCGATTCCAATCCCAATCCCAATCCCGCAGCCAATCCCAATCCCAATCCCAATCCCAATCCCGCAGCCAATCCCAATCCCAATCCCAATCCCGCAGCCAATCCCAATCCCAATCCCAATCCCGCAGCCAATCCCAATCCCAATCCCAATCCCAATCCCAATCCCAATCCCAATCCCGCAGCCAATCCCAATCCCAATCCCAATCCCGCAGCCAATCCCAATCCCAATCCCAATCCCAATCCCGCAGCCAATCCCAATCCCAATCCCGCAGCCAATCCCAATCCCAATCCCAATCCCAATTCCCCCCAATCCGAATCCCAATCCGAATCCGAATCCCACTCCCAATCCGGGCCCTGTTCGGCAGGAGTTATGGGCGTTATGGGCGTTTAAAACCCGCTGGCCCAAACGCAGGCTCGGGAACTCGGAGGGTTGCTTGGCGTAATAAAAATTCATGCGAACACCGTTCGGCTGGCGTTAAGGGCGTGAAAACCACGCCACGTAAAGGTTGTGATTTTCGCAGAAACTTCGCGAAATCACATGATTGGTCTGTATTTTCGGCCAGTCGCATATGATTGGCCGCATCACCAATCCCCCGCATGGTGCAAGCTCTCGACGGCGTACCAGGGGGCGGATCAGTGGTCCGCCCTTTTGCCCGTGAAAGTGATTTCCTGGAACCTAAGTTTGGCAAAAAACGCCATCAAAACAAGGGCCGTTCGGCATGCATTTTAACGCCCTCAGGCTCGGCATGAGAACGCCTATCTCGAACCTTGATAACCCATAGTTCGCTTATAGTTTTACTGTAGCTGGTCCCCGAGCCTGATATTAACGGCCTTTTTAACGCCTGCCGAACAGGGCCCCGAATCCCAATCCCAATCCCAATCCCGCAGCCAATCCCAATCCCAATCCCAATCCCGCAGCCAATCCCAATCCCAATCCCAATACGAATCCGAATCCCAATCCCAATCCCAATCCCAATCCCAATCCCAATCCCAATCCCAATCCCAATCCCAATCCCAATCCCAATCCCGCAGCCAATCCCAATCCCAATCCCAATCCCAATCCCGCAGCCAATCCCAATCCCAATCCCAATCCCAATCCCAATCCCAATCCCAATCCGAATCCCAATCCGAATCCGAATCCGAATCCGAATCCGAATCCGAATCTGAATCCCAATCCCAATCCCAATCCCAATCCCAATCCCAATCCCAATCCCAATCCCAATCCCAATCCCGCAGCCAATCCCAATCCCAATCCCAATCCCAATCCCGCAGCCAATCCCAATCCCAATCCCAATCCCAATCCCGCAGCCAATCTGTCGGAGTCCCTTCCCTTCCTGCCTTTCACCTGCTACTTGCCCCTGTATTGCCTGCTCCCCTTATTCCTGCCTTACTGTTCTCAGTCCCTTTCTCCCCCTTTCCGCCCTGCATAGTACTTCCTTCCTCAGCCACTCCCATGAGAGATTCAGGCTCCCACTGCTGGCTACCAAGAGTGGCGTTAGTCACCTTGCTGCAGTAGCTTAGAACGGTAACGTAAGTCCACTATGCTCTGGTAAACAAACGAGAGAACAGGAGTCCTTTGCTAGGGTAGGCTAATTTATGCTAGGCCACCCAGTCGCGAGTTGCTCAGCGTGATGGGTTGGGCTCGAGCCGCCTTGGCCTTGGATTGGCCTTGTGCCAGATTTCCTGTCTCCCGAGGGCCCTGGAATTGTGCCCGCAGCGCCTTGCAATTCCCCATAGTACCAACTTCGCGTTCCTCCCAATGCCCCACCTACCCTGTGTTCAAACTGAATAACAACTACTACACTACTTCTACACCCCAGTTAGCACAGTTACAGAATATGATGCACTTACCATGATATTCAGTGACAGCTGTCGGAGTCCCTTCCCTTCCTGCCTTTCACCTGCTACTTGCCCCTGTATTGCCTGCTCCCCTTATTCCTGCCTTACTGTTCTCAGTCCCTTTCTCCCCCTTTCCGCCCTGCATAGTACTTCCTTCCTCAGCCACTACCTGCCCCCTCCTGTGCTCGTGCTCGGGCTGCCCGTGCACGTGTCACAGGACCCTCTTGCTGAGGCCGTCTCTCCTTCACTGGCGCTGCGTTCGTCTGGTGATCCACTGTCCGCTCACCCTTCTCATTCTCCAGCACCAGCACCCCTGACCCCCTCACCTCTTTAACCTTCCACCTCTCTGTCCCCAACCCTACATCCAGGGTGTCTGTCTTAGCCCTGCGCAGGTACACTTCCTGCCCCTCCGTCACTGCTGGCTTCGCCTTCCTGCCCCCTTGCTGTTGTCGTTGCTCATACCTGTGGGCATCTCTCAGCTGTGCCGTGTGCAAGTTCTCTAAGGCTGCCGGGAGCATTTCCCGCATGTATCGTGCTCGTGCTTCTGCCAGCGCCACCCACTGGTCTGCTCCCTTCACGCTCACCACCCCCGTCAGTACCCTTGGCGCTCCCACAGGCAGTATTGGTTCCTTTCCGTACAGCAGGCTATACGGGGAGTAGTCCTTCAGTGACGCCTGCTTCCCGAATCTGTACCCCGCCGCCACCCAGTCTAGCTCTTCATCCCAGTCTCTCTTCCGCTTCTCTCCGTACGCCCTCAGGTTCCGCTTCAGGGTCTGCACTAGCCGTTCAGTCAGCCCGTCGCTCTGAGGATGGTACCTTGATGTCTGCCTGTGTGTCACCTTTGCCTCATCCAGCAGCGCCTGGAACTCCCCCTTGAACTCCGTGCCCTGATCTGTGAGGACTTCCCCTGGTGCCCCAAATCTGCACAACACCTGTCCCTTGAATGCCCTCGCCACCAGTCTAGAGTCCTTGCTCGGCAATGCACACACTTCTAACCAGTTGCTTGCATGCTCAACCATGAGTAGGATGTATCGCTTTCCGCCCCTGCTCAGTGGCAGCTCGCCGGCTATGTCCAGAGACCACCGAAACCCCAACCCCCTTATTGGCAGTGACTGCAGCTCCTGCTTTGCCTGTGTCAAGCTGGCCTTGCTTCTCTGGCAGCCTTCACAGCCACTGACCCACTCTCGGACTTGCTTCCTCATCCCTTCCCACCACCAGCCGGTCTTGAGCAGCTGCGTTGTGCGTTCATGCCCAAAGTGTCCCAGCTTCCTATGTACCTCCTCGATCACCCCTTCCCTCTCCTGCGGCGCAAGCACCAGCTTCCACCCATCCACGGACTGCAGCTGCAGCTGTCCTTGGTACCATCGGTAGTGATGCCCTCGTGCCCTCACCCTATCTGTCACCTGCTCGTTCTCCTCTGTCTCCCCTTTAATCCACCGCAGGGCCGTGGGATCCTCCCATATGTCCTGTGGCCCCCTCTTTCCTTGCTTTTCTGCTGCTGCCTCCTCCCCTTGCCTAGCGAGCAGCATCAGCGCGTGCACGGGCTCGGCTGCGGGCGGGTTCCTTGAGAGCCCGTCCACGTGCTGCAATGTCTTTCCTGGTCTGTGGCGTATTTTGAAGTCATATTCCTGCAGGGTCACGGCCCACCGCGCGTTTCTCCCTGTCAGCCCTTGGTGGGTCATCAGCCACTGCAACGGCTGATGATCTGTGATCAATGTGAATTCCCTCCCTTGCAGGTACACTCTGAAGTGCTTCACGGCCCACACAGCAGCCAGCCCTTCCCCATGATAAGAGCTGTACTTGGCCTCTGCTGGGTTACAGCTCCTACTCGCGTAAGCCACCACCCTTTCCTCTCCATCCAGCTCTTGGCACAGGATTGCCCCCATGCCTTGGCTGCTCCAGTCAGTGTATAGGCAGAATGGCTTGTCGGCCTTGGGCAGCTGCAGAATCGTTGCTGTCTGTACCGCCTCCATCAAGTCTCGCAATGCCGCTTCTTGCTCTGTCCCCCACTCCCACCTTTTGTCCTCCCTCAGTAGCCCGTTCAGCGGTGCCGCGCGCTTGCTGAAATTGGGGACAAACCTTCGGTAGTAACTCAGAAAACCGAGCACCGCTCGCAGCCCGCTTCTGTCCTTCGGCTGCTGCAGCCTGTTCAGCACCTCCACCTTTGCCCGCTGAATCCCTATCTGTCCGCCCCTCACCTCATACCCCAGGTACTGCACCGTTGCTTCCCCCCACCTGCACTTCTTTGGGTGACAGGTCAGCCCTGCCGCCGCCAACGCTTTCAGCGTCCGCTCCACGTCTCGCACATGCTCCTCCTCACTCTTGCTTAATATCACTACGTCATCTATGTAACATGCTGCACACTCCAGCCCCCGCAACACGCTGTCCATTACTCTCTGAAAGATGGCCGACGCGTTCCTCAGCCCGAATGGCATAAACAGCCATTCGTACAGCCCGTCTGCTCCATGGAATGCCGTTTTCCGCACGTCCTCCTTTCTGATCTTGATCTGGTTGAAGCCCTGTCTCAAATCTAGCGTGCTGAAGATCTCCCCTGCCCCCAGTCGGTCAAAAATATCCTCCGCTGTCGGCATTGGGTACCTATCGGGCACTGTCACTTTGTTCAGTGCTCGGTAGTCCCCACACATCCGTCGACTCAGCACCTCCCCCAGCAGGTCCTTTCGTGCAGCTACCACTGTCGGCGTCGCGTACTCTGATTCTGATCTCTGTATCAACCCTGCTTCTAGCAACTCTTTGCATTTTTCCTTGCAGATGTCTTCATCCCCGGGTGTCATTCTCCGCTTCCTTTGAAACACTGGCTCCTCCGTGACCAGCTTCAGCTCCATCTCCCTCACTGTGCATTTTCCCAGCTCCTGTAGGTTGAATGCAAAGGCATGCCTGTACCTGGCCAGCACCTCCTGCATTGCCTTCTTCCCCTGTTCGCTCATTGCATTCCCCACTACCCACGCTGGCTCTTCCTGTGCTGCCACACACGCCCATGCCCCCACCCTTTTTACTCCCTCCTTCTTGCTCCGCAGCTCCTGCTCCCCTTCCAGCACCAGCCCTCTCCACATTCGGCGCATCAGCCACTGCATCACCTGTCCGTCCATTGCCTGTCCTAATGCCTTCCTCCTTTCCTGTTCTGTCACCCCTGCTGCCTTCGTTATGTCTTCCCCATACCCCATTGCCAGCTCCCGCTCCAGTGCCGTTGGTTCCTCCCACTTCTTTGTCTTATGATCGTACACCATGCCTTCCCCTGGCACTCCTCCTTCCTCCCTGAACCCGGCTGCCCCCTTGTACCCCACCAGTGTCGGCCAAGCCCTGCGTACTGCCCCCACCTTGTTGCATGGGCACTGTGTCTCGTGCCTGCCTTTCCTTACCGGCGCCGCTGTCCTGCCTGGCTCTAATATCTCTTGCACCGTCCTGCTCCAGTCCCTTCGTATCCCATCCAGCTCCCTCTGCAGTTGTTCGTCCGTCACGACATTTTGCCAATACCTTCTGACACGGTGAGCCCGTGCCCCCAGCCTGGCCGCATCACACCTCACGCCCTTTCCCAGCTTCCTTGTCACTAACTCTTGGATTTTTCTGACTGGTTCCCGGCAGTCTCCCTCTAGATCT